TAGGAAAACTCTGCAAGTTTCAGAATTGGAAAAGAAAGTCTAACCCAGCACAATAAGCAGGTAATAGACAAAGAAGAGCTTGAGATTGTTAGCTTGCTTCCCACAATCAACACTTTTGGAACTAGCAGTCAGGAAATCAAAAGACAGATTTTATTAGGCAAATCTGCTGTAAAGGACCTCTCCAGACTGCTGAAGAGCAACTATGCCAGTCTAGAGATTAAGGTGTGCCTGATCCAGGCCAGTCATTGCAACTACTTGCTATGTGTCAGAGAGCTGGACAAAGACTAAGGATGATGAAAGAATTGAAGCCTTTGAGTTGTGGGGCTGGAGAAGAATTCTGAACACAAAACCATGGACTGTCAAGAGTACTAACAGGTCTGTCCTAGAGAGGGTGAAACCAAGCTGCTCTTTGAAGTCAAGGTTTTGGGGCTTTGTCTCATATTTTGGACATGTGGCCAGGAAGGACTAGTCCTTGGAGAGGGACATCATGTTTAGAAGGATGGAGGGACAGCGCAAGAGAGGAACACCCTGGATGAGATGGAGTGACATGGTTACTGGGGTTTTGAATACAGGTGTGTCAGAGATGATGAGATTGGCTCAAAATAGGACAGGGTTCACAGCTATTGTGTATAGAGTTGCTAGAAATAGCAAGTGACTTGAGGGCACATAACAACAACAAACAATAATGATGACTATAATGATCGGGGAGATACTGAGTGCTCTGAGAACACTTAGTAAAGGTATCACTTTAATACAGTCTCAGGGAAGCCCTCCAGCAAGGACTGAGGGGTCTCTCAGAGTACACCAGTTCAGGAAGTGCTAGACAATGTTCTATTTTGGGAAGAGACACAGATGCAAAAGGTCAAAGTTCTTTGGGGAAACAGAAAGAAGTTCTGCACAGACAAATCTCAAGAGTTGTAGCAAGAAATTAGATCAAAGAGGGACAAAAGAACCAGATTGTGGAGGGCTTTTCAGGTTTCAATTAATCTGTACTTTAGGTTCCATGAGAAGCCTAACATTTTAATCGAGGAGATAACACGGTCAGTTGTCTTTTAGAAAGATGATTGTGTGGCAGTTTAGGTAGTAGGAAGAGGATGGGAGGCAGGAGACCAAGAGGCTAGTGCAGCAATTTAAGCAGGGGTGAGGACGACTTAGTGTAGTGGGGTCTCTGGGTGGTACAAACAGTTAACATATTCAGCTACGAAGAGGTTGGAGTCCACCCAGAGACACCTCTAAAGAAAGAGCTAGTAATCTACTTAAAAAAAAAATTCATTAGGCGAGCTCTGGTGGCCTAGTGGCAAGAAGCTGCACTGCAATCCCAGAGGTGTATGGTTCAAATCCACCAGATGCTCTGCTGGAGAAGGAGGAACAATCTCCTCCTGTACCAGTCAGATCTGATCTGACAGTACACACACACACACACACACACACACACACACAAAATAATAATTAAAAAAATCCTTAAACCCCAAGGAGTGTAGTTGTACTCTAACATACATGTACTCTAACATACAGGGAGGCTCCATGAGTTGGAACTGACCCCAGGACCCCTGAGTGTATTTGTTTTGTTTTTACACAAAGTGGGCTGGCAATGAAGATGGATAAATGTAAAGAGAACCCAGAAGGTGGCTGGAGGAAGACTCAAGGATGATGTCTAGATTTCAAGCACAGGTATGTGGGTGAATGGGAGGCAAGTAACCTCACAGATGCAGGTAGGCTAAAGAAGAAACAGTCTACATGGGATGCAGAGTTTCCATAACAATGACTATGAACCAGTTCCTTTTGGGTTGTTACAACTATCTTCCAGTGTAATATGTATTTGCCTCTGTCTCCGACAAGGGAGTATACACTGTCCTTCCCCCATGCTCTCCAGACACCAGCATCATGATTGCCAGCAAAACTGTTACAATTTTTCATTCATTTTCCTGGTGTTTTACTGTTATTATAACATTAAAATTTATACTGAACAGTATTATTACAATTTTCCACTGCTAATGGAATTATTATTTTTGTTCATTTATGTTTGAAATCCATTAGCATAAAAATCTACCTCTAACAATTTCCTCTGTGATTTTTAATGCCCTTGAAACTTGCAGTGAATGATAAGTTTGCAATAAGAGAATGCTGGTAAGCATATAAACATTTGTCTTGGGGGGAAAAAAAGAGCTTTTTATTTTCATACTGGCTGGACTCAGGTTCTTTGATAGAGCGATGGGAAGGATGTAAGGTATTACAGGCTGAGAACACAGTGTTAGTTTGTAGATGTGTTCAAACAAGTTTCCCAGCTATTCAGAGGACAATTTTATATGCTAGGAGGATTCATATTCTTGTTCGTTTTTATGTTGTTGTTCTTACCTGACTTACAGAAGAATGGGGGCAAACTATGAATTTTTGGGTAACAAAAGGAGCCACAATCACTCTATTCAAGTGGCTTTCAAAGGAGCTGGGGTAGGGGTGGGGGTTGAATCATGGCCGCCAGTGATCTGGACTCAACTCAGACTCACTGCTGTGGAACTGAAATCAGCTCACACCTGAGCTGGCACTGGGGTTCCGAGGCTGCCAATTGCATGGGAAGAGATGGCCCCATCTTTCTGCAACAGAAGCATTCCAGAAGCCTGATGCAGAGGTTAACCGACAGTATCAGATTGCCTAATAAGGAAGGCAGGCACGGTTTTCTTGAGCTAAATTACTAGTCTGTAATAAACAATCTTGGCTTAGTGGTAAAGAGTTGTACTGCTACCCTGACGGCACGTGCACGGTTCAAATCCACCAGCTCCTCTGCAGGAGAAGGCTGGGCAATCTCCTCACGTGTGATTTATTGCCTCTGTAGACACGCTGAGGGGCAGCTGTGGGTTGGTTTCTACTCAACACTATGTAACAAGTGAACAATCTCATGTTTTATCACATTAGAGATTCTTATCCTAGCTGTGGTTGAATTCTCTTCCAAACTTACAGCACCTTCCTGTGGAGTCAAAGTCTCTTTTTCAAATTTATAATCCCTGACAAAATGCCAAGCAAGCCAGGTGATTACAGGACTACTAGACCTTGTCTGTAAAATGTGGATAATAATATCTTCCTCTTAGACTAGAGATGAGGGCACCCAATGGTCCTGAAAGGACAGCTCAGTGACATTCTTAATTTCTATATGCAGTCCACAATTAAACTGCCTTTTATAACTTTATGTAAGGAAAGTTGGCCAGATGGGTAGGCAATCTGTGGCAACTTGGAACAGAAGCTAATCCCAGGAACCCACCAAGTAAGGAGTATTTTCCTAAGATGGATTGGCCTTCCGCCGAGAGGTCTCATCTATCAGTTGTCAGTGTTGTTACTGTTGTGACACAGAACAGATGATGTTCACTAGCACGATATAGTCTCAAGATTTCCCATGACCCCTGTGTGCTTCCTTCTCTCCAGCAACCTCTTAAGACAGCCAGTGCACAAGGCTGACTTTATTACCAAGACATTCTTGACCTTATTTGTACTTTCATATTTTAACCACTCTTGGTAACAAATTACCTTCAACATACTTTCAACATACCCCACAGCAGATCTTGACAAGTTAGTATGTTGCAATTCCATGTCTGAGAACCAGTAAAATGGCTCTCAAACAAAGGGCCCTTCCATGACCAGCCAGATAACATGGAAATCTCCATAATTTTACAGATGGACACAAATGAGCGATTACTAGGCTTGTCAGCCAGATTCAGAGGAACACAAAGTAATGAGATGGATGAACTTTTGATGGGCAGAGTGTGATTTTAGAACATCTGGTCAGATCTCCCCCTGCCCCCCATAGAAGAATAAAAGACGATAAATAAAATTTATAAGAAACATAAACTGATTCCTGGACATTTTAGACTATAGTCCAAAAGGATTGCTCCAAGAATCACAGTAGAAGTCAGGGTGACCTTTATTGGATTCTGTTTAAGGTTTGTGGGAAGTGTGGAGTCCAGCTGGTAGGTTTCAAGGAGAAGCATTTGGGCCTCAGTTTTGCTCAATCCCACTTGCAAAATCAGAGCATGTGCACAGTGAACTGAGAGGGGTGGGCCTGAGTCTCTCCTCCAGCCAGCAGGCCCTGGGAAGCCTGAGTCACACTTGATCCACTCAGTAGATTTGGAGCCAGAGCACGAGGAGGGCACCAGTTAGTGTCCTGTTTTTTATGAAATGCTATTTCCAGCCAGGTTTTCCTTCTCCTTACTCTCTCTCGACCTCTTTGGTGGGCAGTGAGGGCTGACTGCCCACTGAACTCTCTCAGTGAAATGGGGTCCCACCTCTCCACATTGCACAGTATGTTAACAGTCATTGGAAACCCAGGGCTCTTCCAAGATCCTCTCATCAGTCCATTTCCACCCCCCCTAACATTTGATGAAAGATGAACAAACTGAACAGGATCAGGGGCCATTTTTTCTTTATCTCTTAATGGTATGGACAGGGGCCTACATCACAAAACAACTGCAGGGTCCACATGACATGGCACACAGAACACACTTTATGGTGATTATGACTAATGAGCATCTAGGGTGTCAACGTCTCAAGACATAGTTGCAAAAACCACTTTTTTTTTTAGATGGTAATTTTGTCTTGGACAACTTGAGTATTACGCTTATCCTTTTAGCCTTTGTGAGAAAACTGAAATTGCAACACTGACTTTCAGGAAGCAAGAGACATGACGTCCCAACAATGCAGTCACAGCAACGACACAAGTCAAAGAAACTACAAGTGCATTTGGGGCAAATCTGAGACAAGATGAACATTTGTGTCTCTTCTGCATCCTTGACATGAAAATTTCCAAATTCAGCAAACAGACTTAGGTTCCTAAGGCACTGGTTGTCCAGCATCTGATACTGCAAACTTCAAGCTCCTGGGAGAGAAATCGTAAGGCTTTCACTCCATTTTTGAGTTTTGGTCTTTCTTATCCACTGGTGTATATCCACTGGTATCACTATATCTATCTCTATTGAGCTAGATATAGATATATATACCTGTTGGTATTTTCTTACCTGCTGTCGAATTTCTTCCTCCATTTTCACTGGCGAGCCCAGTTCTGCAACTTGCTTGACACCTTCACTTGCGTACCCTCCGTACTCCCAGAGCACGTAATTCTTTGAGTGGGATCCACCAATGATTGCTGACCAGTGATTGGCACGACCTGGGAAAGCCAACCAGAATTCAGTTAACATGGTTGCTGTAGCTTAAACAGACTCTCTTCAATGATGGACAAGTGTAATGGGACAATATGACCAGCACTGAGTAGCCACTTACTTTGGGTTAGACCTGTGTTTATCAGTCAACAGTAGGCTGTGTCCCTGTTCTTAAGACACAGTCAGCAAGTTAGTCTTAGGAATGTGAGGATGGGGCATTAGATGCAGGATGGCGGAGGCAGCCTAGAGCCATGAATTCTGTCTAGAGGCAGCTCAGAGAAAGGAGCAGCTGAGAGAGTTGTCAAAGCCAATCAGATTTGTAAGGGAGGAGAGGAAGAAAGGCTATTTCCAGCAGACTCAGAAGCATTAAATCACTCTGTGTGTTTGAGGATCCATAAGTAATTCAGCAGAGCTGTGTCACACTGTCAAGGGGAGAGGTAGAGAATGATGCTGGGAAGATAGGCAGGAGCCTGCTCACAGATGGCTTGGTTTTAAATGCTTAGGGAGTCCGGATGTCATTTGTAAAGGCCTGGAAACCACTGAAGGGTTCTGGACAGGGGAAAGACATGATCACATTTGAATTTTAGATAAATCATTCAGAAGAGTGCATTACAGGAAGCACAACCACAGAGGCGAGCAGAGAAGATGAATAAGGAACAGAAGTAGAGGGAGTAAATGTAGAAAAGCCTCAAGCAATTCTCAAGAATAAAATAAGTGCCGTTGTCTTCTGCCGCCTTCATGCACTTTCAAGGATCAGAACAAGTGAGTTAGCCTCATTTAAAGGATGTGGTAGGCAGTTTGGATATAAGGACATGAGCAGTCCACAGTGGTTTGGTGACATTGTCACAGGAAGGTGACTTTAATGGTGTATGCAGGAAGGAATGAATGCAGAGCATAAGAGCAGAGTGAGAGCAGAATAAAACTGGGCAGCATCAAGAAAGAACGTTATCGAGGGATTTTATCAAAGCCTTGAGGGATGGAAAGATGGGGCAGCATTGATAGTCATTATCAGTGCTTCACTGAATTTGTTTTTACATATTATTTGCATGTGATGAATACCAATGCATGTATGTATATGTATAAATGTTACTGATCAAATTACATATAGTTAATCATACAGTTAGCTCAGTTCTCATTCTTTGGGTGGTTATATAAAAGTGTGAGACTAAAGAACATTTTTTTTTATAAAAGAAGAAGAAAATTTTCAGGCAGTGTTGAAGAAACAAACAAACCAGCTGGATCTGATTGACATTTGTACCTGGTAGCCCAGAGCGGGCAGAACTCTCCACCCTGCCTCAAGCATAAGAAAATGATTTTGAACAAGGACTTTCCTGTTTCCACATGCCACCTGTTACCCTAGGGTCCTCTTCTCTAGGGCCACATCCAGAATATGGTGACAAGGTCAGGATGCAAGCTCTTCCCTGCTGAGTGCAGCCAAATCTTTGGCACATGCCGTCCTCATGTCACTTTACCTATTTGCTTGCTCATTATGTTCAACTCACAATGGGGCATGCAAGCTTCATGTTTATCCTTCAATTCCCTAGAGAAGATAGATGGGCGATGACTCACTTCCTGGGGGGCCAAGAATGTTTTAGTTGCCTTCTAAGTCAAGAGTGCTGCTTACTTATGGGTAAGCGCTGGTTGCCAGTTATGATCTTTGATATATGACATGACCAAAGGCTGACCAACATCAGAGTCTGATCTGTTCTGCTGAAACCTTCCCTAGTTACAGACTCAAGGTACCAGTCACTTAATACCTTAGTGGGTTACCACATGCTCTTCCCTCTGCACTCTCCTCCTGCTTGCCTTGGCCAATGCTCATTACTCTTTTATGATTTACTCCTGAGCTTCCCAAGAAGACCTATGCCCCATTCCCCATTGTATTTAGTATCACTCCTGCGTGCCTGCTTTCCCATTAAACCATATGCTCCCTCAGGAAGCCTGTCTAATCACTGATCCTCAGCATCTTACATTGTGTTCCATGCATTGACTGCTCATTTCTGAAGCATTTTAACTAAACAATGAAACGGAAAGATGGAAGGATATATGCTTTAAGCATGCAAGAGTAGGCTTGATTCAATTAATTATACTCAAGTGTAACTTCAATAGAGCATGCCATTTACTAGACTAAATTAATCCTGGTTGTTTGTTTTTGCTTTATTAAAAGCATTCATTTTAGAGTTGGAAGACCAGGATTCCCATCCAAGCATTGCAACTAACTAGTTGCGCAAACTTAGTCAAGCTCCAGTTACATAACTAATCCAGGTTTCAGCTTCCTTATGGGCCTCTTATGTATCGGTAATTATTTCAAATGCTTTGCTGACCTTTTCAAACTCTTACAAGAATGAAATGTAAATCCTTTCTAAAATAAGGCAAGAAATGTAAAATCACTACTGGCACACTCAATAATTACCATTTTCTCTGCCCTGTTTGTTGGGAAGACTACAAAAGTGAACAAAATAGGAAATCTGCTTTTAATTTTCTCTCTCTCTCTCTATATATATATAATATGGAATAAAATAAGTAGGAAAATGAAAACAAGCTCAGCCATACAAAGTTCAGAGAATGGACCCAGGCAAGTCTTTCCATTTATTTATTCAATTTCCATTAACTATTACCAAGCACAACAGTAGTATTGGATATTGACAGGCATCTGGCATTAACCCTGTAGGGGGGCTCACAATCTATGATGAAGAGAAAACTGATGGATAGACAGATTCCTCATAAACCAGCATGGTCAGTGACACAGAGTGAAAGGGATAGAAAAGGTCACTCTTAACCAGCCAAATCCAAAGCCACCAAGCACAGAGAAGCAGGCACCTCAAGAGTGAATTCTTATCCGAAGAAATCTGCGAAGTTTCTTAAGCGTGAATAAAATGTTGGTGAGCCTGTTCATTTTGTGATCCAATACAACTTTTATTTCCCTGCAGTGGTTTTTGTACTAATTCAAACTTTAAAGTATTGAATGACATCAACCAAGAAACAGATACTTGCAAAACTTAGAGTAAGGAGAAGAACCACACCACTGGTATAGCCTCCTTTGGGGAACAAGACAGGCATGCCTGGAAAAGAATTTCAACATTGGAAAGAAAGGCTGTGATATCAGGTGAGTAGCAGTTCTCTGATAGTGACCATGAATCAATCAGTCATTCAATCTCCCAGAGCCTACTTCCCCTGTAACAGCAGGAATAGTAATTATCTCCCAGACTTGTGAATTAATTGGGCTATGAAAACTGCAAAGAACTGTACAAAACAGGTATCAGCGCTATTACATGTATAATGCACTATCTGAACCCACAGACAGGAAGAATCTAAAAATGAAGGAGCAAAGAAACTTTCCTACCAGGAGGAGGGCTTCCAAAGACTGAGATAAATAAAAAAGAGGGTGAATCCTAGAGGAGAAACTGATGAGCCTGTAGGAGAAGGAGTTCTACTAACAACCTAGATTAAAAAAAAATTAATAAGAAAGATTTAATGGAGACTTGAAAAGATGGGGTGATAAGAGACAAAGATCAAAAGTAATTAATTATATAAACTATAATGCACATGTATGATTGTAGAAAACACAATGTATATGAATGAAGTTCAATGCATGTTCTTGATTGTAGGCAAACCAATAAACGAATTATAAAAAAAAGATACTAAACATCTAATAGGCATTACGTTAGGTATGATGCTGTCCTAGATCATCACTAATCTAGGGATGCCTAATCCCTACCACAACCACATTCTCATTTTATAGATGAGGAAAACCTCTGTGGAGTAGGAACTGCCTTGGCTCACAGAAGTAACAATGGGTAAAGTGGGTGATCAAACCCAGAGCTGTGTGACTTCTTGAGCCCACGTTCTCTTCACTTCCTCCTACTAGAATGCCAGGGACCTGAGGAAATCATATGACTAGAACGTTAGAGGGTCATTGGTTAAGATAAAAAAGAAGGTCAAGGCCAACTTCAGAGGGTGCTAAGAGCCTATCCATGATAAAAGAAGTAAGGCTATGGAAGGGGAAAAGATAATGAAGGTATTTTTCTGGGAAGAATGACATAACTATTGTTAACACATTTTGAGCGTTTACTATGTGCTTATTACCTTGTTACGTACTCAAAAGGAAAAGTCCCTTGATACCTGATAGTATTATCATGATTTCCTCGTCTCTCTTGCCAGTGGTTGTAATTCCTGTGTCACTCTCAAGCCCATAGAAAAATCAGGCATTTATAACCTTGACACTCATTCATAGCACTTCACTAGAGAATCTCATCCAGCCTTGGTTAATACAGGCAACAAATTCCTTTTATCCAGGCTTAGCTTCAGCCATCCTCTCTCAGTCCTGTTTTGGTTGCCCATCACAGCTTACAGTGAGGCTGTTATGAAATTTGTTGTTGTGGTGACAATCAAATTTCTCGAGTTCCGAAGTTTCAGCTCCCCCTTTACTTTTTTTCTTTCAGCAGAAGACCATACCAGTAAAGTCTCCTGAGAAGACCAAGATCAACACCCATTTATAGACTTAATCTATGCATTATGCAGCGTGTGACAGAAAAATGGTAGGGACTTGTCAGATCTAGTCACAAGAGTTGTCTTGGGTCATACTTCCCACTTGCCCTTATTATTCTAACTTTAGGATCAGTGCCAGAAGCTTCCTGGGTTCTGATGCTTTGGATTTGGTTACAGAATTTGGCTTCCCTGGATTTGCCCCTGGACACCACCAAGGACAAAGCTTGCACTTGCTTTCTGGCTCTTCTCTTTGGAAGCTCTAGGAACTCACTCTGATCTTGTTCTGGTTTTCAGGATCTCATTTCACAATGGCCTCCTGGAAAAAAAATCCAGCATCTCTCAACTGGGGCAGAATTTCTCCAATTTTCTATCTTTCTGCCATCTTTACCAGCTAGTTGGGGAAGGTGGAGAACAGAGAGAACAGAAAAGGACAGTAATGTACATGTGATATAGGTTTGAAAAGACAAATACAGATGTCTCTCTTTCTCTGTCTCTCACATACACATACACACAGGCAGAT